GCCAGGAAGCCGTCAGCACGCAGGGCCAATCACAGGCACTGAGACATGTTCCCGGTCCGCAGCTGCAGAGATCGGGAAATGTCTCAGTGCCTGTGATTGGCCCTGCGCGCTGACAGCTTTCCGGTGGGCTCGGCACGAGACGCTTGCGAACATGCCCGAGCCCATCACTACTCTTAACCAAACGTTTAAGCCATCAAATGGCTGGTGACATAGCTGATCACGTGTGCAGCACCATGGCCACCGCAATCCAAATAAAGGATAAGATCAGTTTTGCAGACAAGGCGGTGTATCCAGTAAACAGTCAGTTGAGAAGAATGACTTAAGGTGCCCACACACCTTGCGATAATCCTACGATAATCGCGGGAAATCCCGCGATCGTACGATTATCGTAAGGTGTGTGGAAGCCGTGCGACCTCTACTACTGTAAGGTTGCACGACTTTTATCTTAGGAACATCTTCGAGAACCAGCCGAGAATCGTACGATGTTCGGCGGGTGTGTAGCATGTTCGTAAGATAAAAGCCGGACGGGCTGGTATGCGCAAGCGCACACTGCCCGTTCGGCATTGCGGTCATCGTAAGCCCGCCCCTCAGGGGGGCGCGGCTTGCGATCATCGCAAGTACGATCTGCCTGTCCAAGATAGGGAGATCGTACGTTTTTTTAATTACCTTACAACCATCGCAAGACAAAAGTCTTGCGATGGTTGTAAGGTGTGTGCCCAGCCTTAGTCTGGTTAATGTGACAAGATAGAAGATTTTCATATGCCTGCATAGAACAGTTGCTACCTAATAGCGTAATTACATTTGCACTTAGGATATAACAACCCCATAGTCCCACATTTCAGTATGATTCACACATACATCAATCTGCCTCCTTTGTTTGCTGTGTTAATTTGGAAATCTGATACTGCGTCTGAGAATCAGTTGTGCAGTGTTAAGGTGCCCATACACCTTACGACCATCGCAAGACTTTTGTCTTGCGATGGTCGTATGCTTATTGAAAGCTCGTACGATCTGCCCACCTTGGACGGGCAGATCGTACTTGCGATCATCGAAAGCCCGCCCCGCTGGGCTTTCGATGATCGCATTGGGACATTGTTGTTAATTTGTAGTGTAAGGAGGGCAGTATATTTCTAGTCTGGTATGATTTGTAATAACATTCTGTTTATAGGACTCCTAGTCCTTAGTGTTTCATTGATATCTGATTTAGGATCAGAGCAAGTCATGCTCTGTTTTTTTTTTTTTTTTGTTTTTTTTTGCTCTGCACTTTTGCCAGCTGTGACATGCGATGGAGAAAGTGTGGTCCTGCGTAGCTCCTATTTGTTATGCCTTCTACATGTATTAAAGTAGAACTGAGGGCAAAACTTTTATCAGCCCTTGCAGTGTGGCTATCTCCTCACTGCAAGGGTAAAGTGCCTGTTTTCATCTGGGTGCTAAAAAAAAATAAAGTTATACTCACCTGATCCTGGGAGATGGCTTGCTCTTAGACTGGTCCTTCCATCCTCACTGCCCCTTTGCTGCAGCGGTCTTAGGATCCTCGTGTCATCACAGCCAGATCAAGGTTCGGGTGAGTATAACTTTCTTTATTTTAGAACCTAGACAAAAATGGTCAGTTAAAGGTTAATAAAAGTTTTGCCCAGAGTTCTTCTGTAAGGCCATTGGAGACATGGGGCACCTTAGACAAGAAGTGTTCTTTTAATAGCAAGGGTTGCTGATCAGTTTAGATACAAGCTGTTCATACTGGAGTTTTTCTTTAATTGCTGGTTATCAGAGTATTTAATGAGACTCTTAGAGTTAGTTCACACCATATGCAGTGCGTTCCGGTCCGATTCTAGCCGAACCGCGCTGCATCGCATTGCGGCCAGCTCACTTTTTTGTGGGGCAGGAGGGGGCCCTCCGGCCGCAATGCGACTGCCCGCACGGGATCGCAGGGCACATTGTGCCTGCGGTCCGGTGCGATCAAAATGCTGCACGCACTATTTTGATCGCACCGGACCGCAGGCACAATGTGCCTTGCGATCCCGTATGGGCGATCGCATTGCGGCCGGAGGGCGTGGCTACGGTGCCTTTCACTTCAATGGCCTGCCACACCCCCTCCTGCCCCACAAAAAAGTGAGCCGGTCGCAATGCGATGCATATGGTGTGAACTAACCCTTAGCTAAACCCTTATGGTGTGAACTAACACTTAGCTAAAAATTTAGAACTCCTTAACAAGTGGGAAATGACTATTGGTATTTTCCTTCAGGGAGATTATTGGAAAGCAATAAACTTTGTATTGGAAAATATTGCTCCCCACTATGCCACCTTGATTTAAATGATCTTACCTTCTGATAATCTGCTGAAACTTTTAAAGTGTATGTAAACCATAAAATGAATGTTTCTGTTTTTAATGCCTTTTGATCTGCTAAATATTCCATTCAATGCATTCCATAATATCTGTTCAATAACTGCAAAAGTATACCCGTTGATCCAGCCAGAAATCTTGTGAGATGAGAACCTCTTGTGCTTTCTGCTTGTGCTGCATTCTTATCTGTTTCATTATCCCCAGCTATCTTTGGGGACTATAGAACCCCTCACCTCTATGTTATAGAGAAAAGAAGATCGGGAGGTGTTAGTAGTCCTTCACAAAAATGTAAAGAGTTTGGAGAAGGCAGAAGAAGTGAACAATCTAGGACAAAATAGCTGATTTGGAAAAATTATCCAATTCAGCTCACTTTCCAGTTCAGCTATGTTGTCCTAGATCAGGGGTGCCCACAATTTTTTTGTGTTAAGATCTACTTTTCAAATGACAAGCTACATGAGATCTACCAACGAAAAAAAAAAAAAACCTCCCTCGCTCTCTCTCTCCTGGTTGTCTCTCCTCGCCCTCCTTGCTGTCTCTCCTTGTTCTCTCTCCTGGCTGTCTCTCCTTGTTCTCTCTCCTGGCTGTCTCTCCTCTCTCTACTGGCTGTCTCTCCTTGTTCTCTCTCCTGGCTGCCTCTCCTCTCTTTCCTGTCTTTCCTCACTCTCTCACAGATTAAAGTGAAAGGTAACCAGTCAAAGTTTTTTGGGGGGATTTATTAGGGCCCTTTCACACCAGTTGGGCCATTGAAGTGGATGGCACCATAGACATGCTCACTTTTTAGTGGGGCAGGAGGGGGCGTGGCGGGCCATAGAAGTGAATGGCACCGTAGCCACGCCCTCCGGCCGCAATGCGATCGCCCGCACGGGATCGCTAGGCACATTGTGCCTGCGTTCCGGTGCGATCAAAATGCTGCAAGCACTTTTTTGATCGCACCGGACCGCAGGCACAATGTGCCTTGCGATCCCGTATGGGCGATCGCATTGCGGCCGGAGGGCGTGGCTACGGTGCCTTTCACTTCAATGGCCTGCCACACCCCCTCCTGCCCCACAAAAAAGTGAGCCGGTCGCAATGCGATGCATATGGTGTGAACTAACCCTTAGCTAAACCCTTATGGTGTGAACTAACACTTAGCTAAAAATTTAGAACTCCTTAACAAGTGGGAAATGACTATTGGTATTTTCCTTCAGGGAGATTATTGGAAAGCAATAAACTTTGTATTGGAAAATATTGCTCCCCACTATGCCACCTTGATTTAAATGATCTTACCTTCTGATAATCTGCTGAAACTTTTAAAGTGTATGTAAACCATAAAATGAATGTTTCTGTTTTTAATGCCTTTTGATCTGCTAAATATTCCATTCAATGCATTCCATAATATCTGTTCAATAACTTCAAAAGTATACCCGTTGATCCAGCCAGAAATCTTGTGAGATGAGAACCTCTTGTGCTTTCTGCTTGTGCTGCATTCTTATCTGTTTCATTATCCCCAGCTATCTTTGGGGACTATAGAACCCCTCACCTCTATGTTATAGAGAAAAGAAGATCGGGAGGTGTTAGTAGTCCTTCACAAAAATGTAAAGAGTTTGGAGAAGGCAGAAGAAGTGAACAATCTAGGACAAAATAGCTGATTTGGAAAAATTATCCAATTCAGCTCACTTTCCAGTTCAGCTATGTTGTCCTAGATCAGGGGTGCCCACAATTTTTTTGTGTTAAGATCTACTTTTCAAATGACAAGCTACATGAGATCTACCAACGAAAAAAAAAAAAAACCTCCCTCGCTCTCTCTCCCCTGGC